TAATTCAAGTATTTTATTTATTATTATATATTTATCATTATTATAATGCATCATCTTGTATAAACTAGGTGGGGTCAACACGCAATAATGTGTCAACAAAATACTTATAATATTTTCATAATTAGTAACACAGAGCCTGAAATTTCAACATTTTCTTTAATTGACATTGTTAATACAGGAAGCCGTATTGTTTTTTATAGAATCTAATTAACTAAATTGTCTAATCAAGCATGACGAGATTTTATTCTACTAATATCGATTAATATCGTTTATCATGTGTAGAGAGAGGTGTGTTTCGTCAAGTTTTGATTACAGAAAGGGAATACAAAAGGATCACCGAAGGAGAAAAAATACTCAGGTGCGTATTCACTATCCGAACGAATGTTCATTCGTTCGTTCGGTAGTAGTATGGACGGAACCGGATTTTAGAACCAAACGAAAACACCTTAACCCATTCGTTTGCGAACGCCTTTGATGTACCGACTCGAAACAGATGGCCGAGCGAACGAACAAACGAACGACCGCATGCGTTCGGTCCACCGTCCAAATATACCGAATTCCATTCGTTCGCTCGCTCGTTCGTTCGTTCGTTCGGATAATGAATACGCACCTTAATAGGGTATTTCAAACAACCTGTTCATTAGAGTTATTTTAAGGTTCTAATTAAAGATACAAATCTCAATTGTTTATCTAAATAAGGGGTATTTCCAGGTGTTTTTTTCTGACACATTTTGGATGTCGTCTGTCGAAATTTTCTCTGGCTCGTTTCTGACTTTAGTTTGATTTGCCCACATGACTACACACTTAATGAATATCTCTCTTCAGGCGAAAATGGTTTAAGAATTACATAAATAAAAAAAAGGTTTTTATTATTGACATTTTCAGAAAAAATTATTTTTCATAAAAAAATTGTTTGTTCTAAAATGGTTAACCCCGTTTATACTTTTCCAAATTACTGTATGTACCGTTTTAGAGAAAATTTAAAAAAATATGAAAATATGGTTGAATTTTTTTAAGTCCTAAAAATCAAAACGTATTTCTATGGTAATATAATTTCGTTTTCATTCTTTGATAGATTGTTATGGATAAAAGTTCAATTAAAGTCAATTTTTTTGCTGTTTTAACGTGTTAAAGAAGTACAACATTTTTTTTAGTTTTATGCTACGGAAAGACTATGTATTAGTTATCTGAAAATGTGATACAGGAAAAAGTATAACGTTAATCAAAGTTAATAATAACCATCTATCAAAGAATGAAATCGAAATTATATTACCATAGAAACGCCTTTTGATTTTTAGGACTTTCAATATAGAAAATTACAATAGAAAAAAACAGTAGGAAAATTCAACCACACTTTCATGTTTTTTTTTAATTTTCTCTAAAACGGTATGGCAATTTGGGAAAGTATAAACGGGATTAACCATTTTAGAATAAGCAAAAATTTTTCTGAAGAATGCATTTCTCTCAAACTGTCAATAATAAAAAAGTTTTTTCTCTTATAAGACAATTCGGGGACATACTGTATAATAGGTACCTATATGATCCAGACACTGTTTTACTGTTTAAAATACTAGCTTGTGAAAGACTATGTTTTTATTTTTGTTGTAAATTCCACAAATCATGCTCTTTATACTCTCCACCATCGCACAGAATTTTCCTCTTGGTTTGATAAAAAAAACTCACAACGCAAGGTCCAAATACAAATTTAAAACAAAACACCGTAACATGAAACTTAAAAATGTAAATGAAACAAAAACTACAAGGCCTTAAGTTATGAATATTTAAATAATATCTAAATAAAGAAAAAGTGTTGCGAAAAAAATCTATATAATTTAATGGGAATACTATACAGGGTGTCTCAACATTACATGGACATAGAACTACTACGTATTTTTGAAATCAAAATAAGTTCATTTTCAAACTTTTGGAGTTCATGTTCAAAGATTTGGGGTGCCTATGTTTTGCTAAGTGCTTTAACATTTGACCCAAAATCAAGAAAAAAGTACGGAAAGTGTGAAAACTATCTCGACCCCTAGATAAATTTTAGTTCAAATATTTTCGAACTGAACGATGCCACATCGCATAGATAGAGAAAAAATTATTGGAGAATTTATTTTTCCAGAGGAGAGCTACAAAATATACAGGAAGTTCCAATATTCCGTGGGCATAGAACAAGTACGAAGTACGTATTTTTTGAATCGAAATAAATTTATTGCACATAATTTACCTTTATACAAAAGTGCTTTGATTGTCCGTTAGATGGCATCAATAAAAATTAAACCCGAACCAAAGAGTATCTCCTCTTTGCCCGAACGTTAATTTAAAATTTATTAATTTTTTAAGCTCTTTATGAAGCTTATTGTCAAATATAATTTGTGGTACTAACATAAAATTCTATATTTTCACTTTCAAGCACTTTTGTATAGAGGTAAATTGTGTTCAATGTACTTATTTTGATTCCAAAAATACATAGTAGTTCAATGTCCACGGAATATTGGGACACCCTGTATATTCAATAGTATAATAATCAAAGCATATTCTGTCTTAGTTAATGTTGTGAGCACCAGTAAGGTCTACTTATATTAATATTTGTCTAAGTATGATGCCAGTGTACTTCGTATACACGTGTGGCAAAATTTCATTAGCAATAGGAGGTTTTCAATGCGATAAAAAAAGATGGTAAGGCTGCAAAATACACTGCAGTACAACAGAGACGGATAAAGTGTCTTTTCCCTACCATTGTATAGGGGAAGTGATCATAGAAGTGATACGACGAGAGAGCCTCTGCGTGAGGGGGTGGGTATTTAAGACGTGGGGGCTACCGGCTACTAATAGAATAGAATGGAAAAAATAGAAAGACGAAGGACAGTGTTGCCATTCTGTTAAATGAAAATTATGTTGGCTTATCCTAAATCCCGAATCTTCTAATCCCATTATCTTGCCTACTTAATGAAATATTAATGTGTTAATATTAATATTGGGGTGGGTATTTAAGACGTGGGGGCTACCGGCTACTAATAGAATAGAATGGAAAAAATAGAAAGACGAAGGACAGTGTTGCCATTCTGTTAAATGAAAATTATGTTGGCTTATCCTAAATCCCGAATCTTCTAATCCCATTATCTTGCCTACTTAATGAAATATTAATGTCCACTTGCACCGTTTGTATAAACTTTGTTTAAAGGCTAAACAGTGATTAAGTATAATAAAATATTATATAGTTAATCACTGTTTAGCCTTTAAACAAAGTTTATAGAAACGGTGCAAGTGGGCATAAATAAAGTACAAAACAATTTTAAGAATGTTTTCTCTAGGCACATAACAACTTCTTTCTAAAACAAAAAGTAACATGCAGAACTTTGAAATCATTTCTAAAATAGCAAGTGCAATTCTAAGAAATGGCAATACTGTACGATCTCCCTTCCAGTCGCCCCGACAGCGGTCGGCGGCGGCGGTAACAAAGGAATTAGGCCGAAAAAACTTTATAAAGGAGTAGCTGAACAGGGTTGCCGGGTTTGTTAGATTATAATTCCATACGAGAACAAAATTCTTGGTAGATCTTCAATGAAAATCAAAAGTACAGAAACAAAATAAAATATAATATTTAAGTCCAAAATTAGCATTCCTATGTGTCGTAATACTAGATCGCTCAAATAAAATACAAATATAGTAAATATAACAAGAATTAGAAATAGGTAGGTATATTATATTCAGTGCGAGATTCTGAATCATACGTTCTACTCGCCTGGGGTAGTTTTGTTTTAAGGTTCGACATTTCGTGGTTTAGTGGTTTGGTAATTTCAAGGCCACGCTTTTGATTAGAAAATTTTGAGGTTTGGATATGAGAATGGGATGGGACAGTGATTTTCCCAGTATAGTCTTGGGAGATAAGCTAAGGCTCGCGTGGGCAGGGGCACGTGCCTGCGTGTCATTAGGGAAGTGGCAGGTAAACGGTGGTTAAATACAGCACAAAACAGGGTGACATGGAAAAGGATAGGAGAGACCTATATCCAGGAGTGGATGAATCCGGGTTGAGGAAGAGGTATATTATTTAATATTAAAAAAAATATATTAAATTAAACAATATTAATATATTAATAAAAACTATAACAAGTAGAGATAGCAGTCACTTTTTACCTTTTGTACAAATTTTGATCAGTGATATCTAAAATTAATTTCATTTCAGTGGGAAAGCTGTAGCAACTCTCAACTCTTTTTTCATATTAATATATTTTTTTGACAGGAAAAGCACTAAAATATTTATCCGTATTTAGTTTGTTTCTTAACTTAGATTTTGTTTTTTGTTTATATTTTTGGGGAAAATATGGGTTCAACTTTAGTAGATGAATGAAACAAAATTTTTTCAAAAGATATCAACTTCTTAGGGCATATCGCCAATACCGCGCCTAATAAAGAGTAATAAGGATTTGTAGGAATATCTTTGTAACTCTACAACTAGACAGAACGATGACCTATGATTACTAAATAAAATTTAATAAACAATAATAAAGTCAGATTAGACTAGAGACGCAGTTGAACATATCGTTAGATTTTTGTTTAAATTGGTAGATCGGTAGCTTACAGACGAAACCGGTAGATCTGGCAACTCTGTGATGGACTGACGTGACGGCGTTTTGCGGAGGCGCGGGAAGGGAAATAAAATAATGGCGATAAAGGGCAGGTGGATGGTTATCATCAAAATTTGTTATCTTATTGGAGTTTGTCTAACTCGACAGTCGTAGTGGAAGTGGAAACGGGGAAGTTGTTGTCCATCTCTGTTTAAGCTTAGACTTTTTATAGGCGTTTCATTCCAATGCATGTAATTCCTATGCCTAGATATCCTATTACCGGACCTGTATAGATCCTAGGGACAGGGTTTCAGACTGAGTGTATCATAGGTATCAAATAGGCAATTCTGCCAATTTGACTTCGATAAGCTGTCGTATTTGGCACTTTAACCAACCAATTATAAGGAATATGAAGGAGATTCTTGTACTTACCAGTACACTGAGCTACAACGCCGTCCCTCTTGAAGCGACACTGACCATCTTGCCCTTCATATGGATACACCTCTTCCCCATCAACACCATTGTTCGCTCTGATATACTGGAAAGCTGGATCAATCAATCCTCCTTGGCACCCATCGTTGTCGTATTCTGTGGTACAGTCCACTAGGTTCTGCTCGCTTACATCAACCAGTTGGCCTGTTTTGCGGAACCAGGCAGCTTCCAGGGCACCAGCCTGATATTGAATTAATATAAATAATTTAAAATAAAAAAAATATTTTCATAAAAATATTCCAATATTTGCAAAACCATCAAAACTTTCAAAAAAGTAAAAATTGTTCACTTTATGGCTCTACATTTAAAAAAAAATATACAGGGTGGTCCGAATTGTATTCCGCAAACTTCGGCAGCATATTCTGCAGATAAAAATAGGTAAAAAAGTTCGTATAAATGTATGTCCTAAAATGCTTAGTTTCGGAGATACAGGGTGTAGAAATTTCATTTTTATTTCGATTTTTTCCAAGTAATTTCTGAAGTAACGTCAATATTTAGATGAAAATTGGTGTCTGGGAGTTTTCTAACATGGGAAATTTGATTTTGATGTCAATATGACTCCTACTTGTAGAGGGCGCCACCTACATGTGTTTTAACTGTTTTGAAGCGTAATAACTTTTTGTCCGTACCTGTATAAAACTACCGAGGGAAAAAATATACATCTCAAGATATTTGGAATGGAAATAGTCAATACATGCTATTATTGACGAAAAATAAACACGTTGAGTATAAGTAGTTAATAAAATTTGGGAAATTTTTATTTTTTTTAAATTAATCATATTTTTTCTGCAAAAAAATGATGATAAAACAGTTTTTGTTGAATTTTTGGTACAAGAACATTTCAAATTTATGATCTCAGTCTAATAACTATAACATGTTTAATTTATGTCATTGATAGCAGGTATTGATAATTTCGATTCCAAACATCTCGAAAACCATTACTGGTAGCGATTTTTACCAAGAGACCTTTTTTTACGTAAAAAGCGTCGTAAATGTATATTTTTTACTCAGTAGTTTTATACATGTACGGATGAAAAGTTATTACTCTTCAAACTAGTTAAAAAATACGTAGGTGGCGCCCTCTACTAGTAGAAATCATATTGACATCAAAATCAAATTTCTCATGTCAAAAAACTCTCAGACACCAATTTTAATCCAAATATTGACGTTACTGCAGAAATTATTTGGAAAAAATCGAAATAAAAATGAAAGTTCAACACCCTGTATCTCCGAATCTAAGCATTTTTGAACATACATCTATAAGAACATTTTTACTTATTTTTGTCTGCAGAATATGCTACCGAAGTTTCCGGAATACAGTTCGGACCACCCTGTATAGTTCATATCAAATTTACGTTTAGTCACGTGATTAAGCTTGACCGGCATAGCGTTGCCCACTTTTATATATTTTCTATTAATCAAAATATTTTAGGAAACAAAAATAAATTAATTATAATTATATAAACAGTTATTATTTACATCAACAAAACTCATCTTCTTAACAGCAATTTAAAGGACACCATTACTATCGCTTTCCTGCTCAAAATTGTGTTTTTTACGGCTATTAAGCTTCTATCTTGTACACTTTTCGCACTAAAAGAGGTTCTAAAAAGAGCAATGTTCGACTACAAGGTTAAAATAAATTGTGGCAACTTTTGACATTTTTGCAGCAGAGCTCCCACCTGAATTCCTAGCGGGAAATTTAAATTTCAGTTAGTCAGCTGAATATGTCCATGTTTGGCAACAATGAATTTAAAAACCGCACCCTCGATTACGCAACTAAATGTTTAATTGGTATCAAATATATATAAAAATTGTTAAAATATATTACATTTTAATAATTTGGCATTGAATCGAACAAGCTGTACAATATTATACGACATTATTTATATAAAATATAACCAACGTTTAAGAAATATACACTTACCGCAGCGAATGCCCAACAACTTTGACACGCCCCCTGAGATTTGACACCTGTCACCGCTCCCACCTGTCGCCAATCTACGCCGTTAGGTATGGCAACGTTAGCACTAGGAATGAAAGTGGTGGGGGCAGGAATTTCCGCGCCAGTGGCGTTCGCCGTGGTCTGTCTGAACCCGTTGAGCAGCTGGTTGAACTCGTGGTTCAACAGGTCTCCGTAGGGATTGAGCTGTTGGACGTAGTTGGTTTTGCCCTTGCTGTATTCCTGGTTGAACCTGGCGATTTTGGCTCGGTTTTCGATGAACACCTCTCTGCGGAAGCGTTCGACTTCATCGGTTGGGTAGGATTTGCCGTACGTTAACTACAAAAAAAAGACAAGTTTATCATACTGTATTGTAAATAACACCTTTAAACAGCCCCTACACTATCCCCGAAATGTTTCTGTCTGCCTTTTATAGGTTATATAGGTGTTAAACTAATTAAAAAATCGTCTAATTATTTCTTATTTTTGAATGGATTTATATCACACTATGTTATTATCTATACTAATATATAAAATCCTTAAGTGACTGATATACTGATTAATCACGATCCTGCTCAAACCCCTCAACGTAAGAAGCTCAATTTTGGCATACAGATTGATTCTAGGGTGTAGAGGTTCGATAAAAAGGGATTTTTCGAAATTCCTGTTCCAAGAGGGTGAAACCACCCCTCAAATATTACAATATTTTTTATTTAAAAAACGGTCAAGTTTCCGAAAAAACGCTTAAACACGTATATTTTATTTTGTTTTTTTACATATTTTAAGATTTTTTAAAAATGTATACAGGGTGTTTCGAAAAATCTGGTCATTGATTAATCACGATCCTGCTTAAAGCGCTTGACGTAAAAAGCTGATTTTTGGAAAACAGATTGACTTTAGGGTGTAGAGTTTCGATAAGAAGGGATTTTTGGAAATTCGAATTCTAAGGGGGTGAAACTATCCCTCAAATATTAAAATATTTTTTATTTAAAAACCGGTGACTTTTTCGGAAAAACACGCACACTTTATTTTCTTGATTTACATATTTTAAGATTTTTTATAAATTTATACAGGGTGTTTCATAAAATATGACCATTGAGTTATCACGATTCTGCTAAAACTGCTTGACGTTTAAAGCTGGTTTTTGGCAAACGGATTGACTGTGGGGTGTAGAGAGGTTCGATAAGGAGGGGTTTCTCGAATCTCAAATTCCAAGAGGGTGAAAACGCCCCTCAAATATTACAGTATGTTGTTATTTAAAAAACGGTTAGTCTTTCGGGAAAACGCTTGGACAAGCATAATTTATTTGGTTTTTTTACATATTTTGAAATTTTTTAAAAAATCATACAGAGTGTTACAAAAAGTTGGGTAATTTCTTAACCACGATTCTGCTTAAACTGCTTGAAGTAAAAAGCTTATTTTTGGCAAACGGATTTTTCGAAAGTCAAATTCCAATGAGATGAAACTACCCCTTAAATATTACCAAGTTATATAATAATAGGTGCCCGGTGGCGTATAGGTACAGTCTCTCGTCTACCAATCTCAAGGTAGTGGGTTCGAATCCCACACCCGGCATTGCATCCGCCGACTATTTTTATTAAAAATAAAAATAGTTTGGGTACCTAGGTCGACTCAGCCTTAAATGAGTACTTGGGATTCACAATCCTGAGGTAATAATAGGCGGTTGAAGCGTAGTGCTAGCCACATTACCTTCCTTGGCGTTAAACGCTATATACGAGAGCTATTATTATTATTATATAATAATATCGCCATATTGTTTTTTCTCATGCTGGCATAAATGTGAGAAAATTTTATCCAGTTTGTATTATTAATGGAAATTCTTGCTTTGCTTTATCATCACCATTACAAATGATTAATTCGACGCGAACGAAGTCGCTGGTACATGCTAGTTATATATAAAAGTATCTTTTATTGACATGGGACCAATCAATAATTTTCCCAATCAGCTCGATATATTGATGATGTTGCCAGTATTAATATAGTCAAGCAATTATTAACAAGCCAGTATTATCAAGCCAGTATTAACATAATCAAGCAATACTACTGTTATATTAATCAATTAAGGCTGTGTAAACAAACATAACATATACAATTTTATATTCTAATTCATTATAATAAAATTAAATGATAAAAATATTGTAATTATTATAATCCTGCTGTTGAAGTGAAAAGTTTTGTTCCTAAACATCTACTATACATATTATAAACACGTGTTTAACAGGTATAATAGAAACGTCTAGGTTTACTTATTTCACTGAGATTTATGAAAAAAATCCTTTGCCTCGGGTACAGGTACCGCCACGTTTCGGAAATAGCTTAAAACGAAACAAAATTGAAGGAGGCAACAAAAAACGCCAAAAAAAAACACCACGCCCTCCTCACGAGTAGTTTTTAGAATCGAAAGTAGGTCGAAGCAAACCGAAGTGGGTCAAGCTGGGCGACGAAACGCGACCTTGACCTGTTTCGAAGAGTTCTCCGCATAGTGTAGAGGCTGTTTTAGAGTGGTCGCAACAAGTTTGAGAGGTAAAGAAGGGTTTCTTCCTTTTTAGCATATAAAAAAATTATAAAAGCAATTCAACTAAATTATTTTTATATGTATAGGCCTGGTGCATTCTCCGTCGGTGCTGCCACTATCAGAGAATATCGTAAACAACTAGTATGTACAAATACAAGGGTTTAAATAGCGAGTATATAAAAAAATTATTATATAATTATTAAAAAAGTGTTAGGAAGTATAATTTGTAAAAAATCTAAAAATAAAAATAAAAAACTAAATATTTTGATATCTTCAGAAGGTCTAATTTGTATTGTAATTTATTATTCCAACTAAAAAGCCTTTTTAGATGAGTTCAACTACGGTGCAAGCATAGTTTTAACCACCGGTTTTGCTAATGGAGACATAATTGGGGCTATTTTGGCTATAACGAAATTTTTTAAAGGTTCATAATTATAATTTTAGATGTTCATAAAATTTCATTAACATTGCAAATTATATTTTATCCTCTCATAGTATATGATTATTTAATTTTTTTGATTATGTAATAAGCATTTTGTTTACTCACTTGTTTCGTCGAACTGCTTGAATCCATTTTTGCTTTTGATCAAATCGGTGTGAGAAACTGTGAAGTTATAAAATGGTGTTTCGGGAAAGTTGAATATCCTTTTCATTCCAAATTCATTCATTTGAATATCCATTTCATCATTGAATATTTTTTCGCCAATTTTATTAACATTTGAAATTGTCACAACACAACACGACGCCTAGGGGTTCTTTTTCTCTTTTTTTTACTACCCGAAACAGCGTTACATTTCACAAACTTGCTGAGTGTTTTATAGTTTCAATACCTGCACTAGCAAAAAATAAAATACTTAAATATTATGACAGAGCCACGATTTCAATATTTTAATGCGATCAACATGAACTGTAACCGGGACGGCGTGAAATACATAGTGAAAACTTCTGACTTCTGCCGTATAGAGCGCTGGGGTCGGAATTTTTTTGAAATCAACTGAAATGCACCAAGCCTATAGCGAACTTTCAATGTAATAAATATCAACATAATAAGCTTAACCGCAAAGACACCCTGTGTATAATCTACCGTGCTTTTATTTTAACTATGAACATATGGCTTAATATAGTGCTTCTGCTATGTTAATTTTTAAAGTGGAACTGTCAATGCATTGAATTTCAACGAATAGTGTGCAACCAACTAAACTCCGTTGCAAAAGAAATATTTGTTTTAAAATAATACTTTGTTTAATTAAAAATAGTTTTTAGGCAAGAGATTGCCAAGAATCCATATAGTTTGGATGGAAAAAAATATCTGAAATTTTATTTTATGTCTATTATTTGTTTGGCGAAAAAACTGTATAGCCTGTCAATATTTTATCAATGAATGATAAAAGGTTGGTGATAGCACTGACAACAGGGAGTGATTTACAAATTACAATGATTAACGGCTATGTTCACAGTTTAAATAAAAGCACTGTAGACTCTACAACTCACCTTAAACGCTTTCCATTCCTCCTCAATCAAGTTCTCCAAACTGACGGGGACCAGTTTTTTGAACTCGTTCTGTATATAGTTCGGTTGCTGCATAGTGTGCAGGTCGAACCTCACATGCTCCCCCCCGAAACCTATCCCACCGTGTATAGGGTGTGGGTGTGGAGGATGGGGTCCAACCAGCACCCCAGCGCTGGCCGATACGTGGGGCAACGTGAGCAAGGGTCCGTGGGGGTGAATGTAGCCCCTTTTTCCATGCCTGGGCCCATCGGCTAGGGTTAGAGTGATGAGGGTGGTTAGAAAATAGAAAATTCTGGAGGAGTGCATTGTAAGTTCGGGTGGAGTAGCGGTATTGTACAATCTGGAAATAAATCGTATAAGTAAATAAAATAAGTTAATAATAAGTAAATTATATAGTAAACCTATGACTAAAAAAATTAAAATGAAATTCAAAGAAATAAACACAAAGAAAAGTATTTTATACTAAAATAATTCTGAGGTAAAGAAAACTAAGAGGGAAGAAGTTTGTTTAGTTAGGAGTTGGGAGAAAATGTTTTTACAGTAAAAAAAGGAAATTGTTTTGTACCGCAAGACCGAAAAAAAACGGCGTCAGCGATTGCTATGAAATGAAGATTGCTGTCATTTTATATGGGAAATAAATGTCATCGATCGCGTCATCTCCAAGCCAACTGTATTTTTTCGATCATACGGTACAATATTGTGTAAAAATTAAAAAAACATATTATTATAATTTTTTATTCAAAATAAATTCGCGAACACACGTCTACATAATCTTCTAATTTCCTTGAAAATATTCAATATTAACCTATTAATTTATATTTTTGAAATTTATTGGTCTGATATGTTAATGAACCCAAGGAATGTTATATAACAATGTAGCAGTTTATAAATGTGTTAACCTTTTCACCAATTAACTAATTAAAATAACCAGAATTTCATAACCATAACCAGAATTTCATACAGCATCTTATATAAAAAAAACTACATAATATAGTTAACATTTGCGTTTGTTTAATAAATAAGATTTAACATAAATGTCAATAAAAAATGAGAATGGAAAAAATTAACTTATGGCAGCACGGTATTATCGAAGAAAAAGGCGTCAGAGTAGCAAACCTTTTCCAATTTTATTTATCACTTTGTATAAAACCAATAATAGATAAACAAAAAACAACAGAAACATTTTTATTTTGTACCGGGTGGCCAACTAAAAATGGACGCCGGCTGTATCTTAGAAACTACTTATCGTATAACTTTGGGAAAAAATTCTAATAAGAAATCGACCAAGAGAAATCGCTGTAAATTATTTTCAAGTTCGAAAAATGTCCGCTAGGAGGCGTTTCTCTGATAGCCAATCAGAAAACAAAGTTTTTCTCAAAAATATGCAGGTGAACAGGTATTTTAAATATTACTATTATAATCATCCAGAAATTTGTAATTTTTTTGATATAGACTATTTTGCTCTATCTCATAAAATAAAGTGGTGGGGGAAAGTTAAACTTGCTTTTATTGAAATAATATGATAATTCTGGTTTAGGATATTCGATTTAAACAAACTAGGGTTCGTTTAAAAGAACTTTTCTTCGTTAATGATCTCCAGTATAAATTTTGTTTCCATAATTTTTTTCGTGGTAGCTAGAGGGCGCTGAGGGGTATCGGCAGCCAGACGGGCCGCATGCTGTTCCAGAGAGCATAGTAAAAGATATATCAAAGAGCCGGACGTCTTAAAATACTTTCTCGAAAACGTTGCTAGCTCATAGACTATAATATCTACTATAATTTCATAGAAAATACACGTCTGGCTGTCATTTACAATCATGAAAGCACTATCAGACTCATAAGTCAGGTCGTACATTTCGTATTTTTTGAGATGCGAAATTTTTTGACGCTCAAATGCAATTGCAATTTCGTGATTTGCAATATAGCAAAATCGAGAAACATTACTCTTAATTTTAAAAATCGTTCTAGTTCCAAACATTCATATGATGAAAAGTTTAAGACAAGTCACCTTGATCAGATTTTTTACTGCAATAACTTAAAAACTAAGGGAGATTTGTACTAAATAAAGTGAAGAGATCGATTTTGTAGAGAATTAAATTTCCTACAACAAATATTTGACATTTTATTAATACAACTTTCTCATATCTCTGATAATTATTACAAAGTTATTGGCGAATGAAGTTTTTTGATGATGGACGGCCAGACTAAAACCTTGTTTTTTTGGATTCCTGGGGCCAAAACGTTGAGAAAAGTGTTTTTGACCATACTCAAATCGCCCTAAACCAATACTTTTCTTACCATAATTTATGAAAAGGAAAAACATGTAGAGATGACAACAATCTATATAATTGATTGTGATAATCGTAAGTAAAAAAATACCGAGGGTGCTATTTAAAAATCAAAAGTTGTAGTTATTTCCGGTGAAACAGAGGAAGTGACCAAAAACAATTGAATACGTCAGTCAATCTTAATTTATGTCATATACTAACATACCAAATCTCGTTTTTTTATTGTTTTTGAAAAAATAAAAAAGATATAGGTGTGAGCCACTTTTGAGACGCACCCGGTATATGAAATTTGCTTAGAATAAGATACCGAATAATTCTTTCGGTGTTTGCTGATTGGGAAAATAAGTACCAAAAATCTTCACTGCCTCCTGGACTATTCTTACCTGTGTTATGATCTCGCCCAAATTAGTAATTACATAGAAAATTTAAAACATAAATTTCTACCACATATTTTTCTCGAATACAGAAGTTTCTCCTGTGAACTTATAAGATTGATGTCTCATTTAATAATTTGTCAGTTAATTATCCATATTTAGACGCTGATTTATTACCAATTCTCACGATCAATAAATAAATATTATAAGGTCAATTTGCATTAATACGAAGTAAGTAAAGAAATTTTAATATTTCTTATGTAATTAAACAGTTTATATTCTGAAATTAAAAAGAGATGCTAATATCTTATTTCATCTTTCCTCTGTTATTAAGCTTCATTGTTAACTAAAATTTATGTTTTATCATATTTTGGTCTAAATTACCACGTTAATGTTCGATGAAATTACCAAGATCAGTATACCTGTATCTCTCTGGGTTATCTTTACAAGAGGAAAACCTGTTTTATTATTGATATTATGAGAAAAATGCATTCTTCATAAACAAATTTACTTGTTCCAAAATGGTTAATCTCGTTTATACTATACGTTTTCAAATTTCCATACCGTTTTAGTTTAAAATTGACATACAGGCGAGGCACAAAAAATAATTTTTACTCCGAATAGAACATACTATTTTTTTTGAAATGTCAGAAATAATTTCTGAAATAATATCGTTCCAAATATATCGTTATATACGGGGTGTCCCAGAAATAAGTGCAAATATTTTAAGGGGTGGTAGATCTCGACAAAAGAAGCATATTTTCTCTTTATCGTTTTTCAAATAAGTCCAAAATAACGGAGTTATTTTACATTGAAAATTTAAAAAAAAATTATTTTTTGCTAAAATTTTAAAAACTAAAAACTAAAAAAATTTCCAAAAATTTTTTCAAAAAGTTTCGAATTTTCAAAATTATTTTTTCGCGAAACGCGAAAGAAAACTCATAGGCGTGTTTCTGGAGTTGAACTATACTACCCGTTAAAATATTTGTACTTATTTCTGGGACACCCTGTATATTTCTCAAAAAAATAAAAATTAATTAATAAATAATATGTAATAGCGTTCCAAAAAACAAAAAAAAATAAAAGTAATATCTTGTAGGTAATTATATAGAGGAGTCTAAAATAAGTGCAAATATTTTCAGGGCTAGTAGATTTCGATAAAAGAAACATATTTTCTCTTTACCGTTTTTCAAATGTGTCCAAAATAACAGAATCATTTTACTTTGAAAATCTCAAAAAAAAGTTTTTTGCTTAAATTTTGGGAACCATTGGATCATTTCTGGGTTTTCTTTCTTGTAAATTTAATCTACTACCTATGTTGTCATATTATCAGGAAGTTATGTTTTTTAACTAAAAAAATTTCTAAATAAAATTTCAAAAAATTCCAAATTTTCAAAATCTTTTTTTCGCGAAAAAATCTCATAATCGTGTTTCTGGGATCGAAATATACTACCCCTAAAAATGTTTGCACTTATTTAAGACTCACCCTGTATATCGAGAAACTATGGAACTACTACCATTGCCTGGAAACTTATATCACAGTAGTGAAATTTTGATAAAATAATTTAGTACTTACTAAAAACACGGTATGTCGCTAGTGGTAGGAAAAATAATTTTTAAAGGTTACTAGTTTATTTGGTTGCCTATGATATGCATATACAGGGTGTTTCCTAATTAATCTAAAAAATAAAAAAATCGTTAGAAAACGGCATAAGGTGGGCTCTTAATAAGTATATTTATTTTTTTCTCGGCAACCGTTTGATGAACAAGAAAAACTCAAAAGATCAATTTTGTTGAAAAAGGATGGCCAGTCAAGAAAAAAATATATTTTCTTTAAAAAAGCAGTAGTGTACCATTTATGTTAAGCAAAATATCGATTTTTTTTTAATTTTTAACACCCTGTAGATCAGAAAGGGGAAGTACTTTAGACCTAATGGTTATATAAAAATTGTTTTAAGAACACATGAGGAATCACACCACAATTTTTTAGACTAATTAGAAAACACCCTGTACATTGTCAACTTGACAATGATTGTTGATAAATCAAAAAATACCTTTTCTGTGAAAAAAGCCCGATTTTCGCAGGAAAAATTTTGGTTTTTATTGAATTTGGGCCTGCGTCTGCAAATACCGGTATTTTTTTTAATATTGTATCTATCTAAATTTTAAATATCATAGTCAGAAATAGTTTTATTATTTATTAACTGTAAAAATTGTATACTTATAAGTTTTATCAAATATTGTGATTTACTTTCTACCTTGTAGTCAAAATTTGTATTTAATAAACTGTAAAATATATATATATTCTTATGTTTTATTAAAGTTATTCTGATATACTAATATATCAGTGTAACTTTAAAAATAAATCCTTTGAAATCAAATATAAACATAAAAAATATTTACAGCAGAAAAGGCGAAGGCGCTGGGTTAAACGTAGTCTCTACTAAGAACACAGAGGGGCGCTTTGACCCAAAATTGTACTATTAAGTTTCATATCTATCTTAATAGAAGATTATATTCTTTTATCTATGACTACTACGCTCGTTGAATTTGACACTTCATGTCAGTTTAATAATATATTTTCGTACTTTTGTTCTTAGGCGTAAAAGTGCTTTTCTTTTATACCTGGGCGTTAAAATGACTTTTATGTTGTCAACAATGTCAACCACATCGCAAAA